TTGCTGTTCTTCTATTTTACTATTCTAACAAACTATAACTAATTTTCTATTAGCTTTCTTTTTGCTTAGTCAGCTTTTACACTTTGTCTTGATGGTTTTTGTGTTTTCTGTAATTTTCTTTTCTACTCCAAATTTGGTCATAAGAATCAGTGAAGAGAGTTTCATTGCACATACTAATATTATTAAATATTCACAACATTAGTTATTTTAAGTTTATTTGCAATATTTGAAAGTATTGCATTTGAGCTACCTTACGAATAATTATACAAATTTGATTGATTAATACTATTTTAATTGAAAAATCTTGATTAACATATTTATTATCAAATTATTTCAAAATTATTTAAAATAAATTTGTAATATTGTATTATTTTCAAAATGTTACAGATTATAAATTTGGTGATAATATCATTAATTTAAGTCAAAATTCTTTGATAATTATGCAGCTAGAAATTTACGTAATTAATTATTTTCATAAATAATTAAAATTTTTAGCATACATCAAAAATATGTTTTAAAATTATTCAATTAATATCAAATTATTCTAAAGAATTAATATTTTGATTTTGACTAAGAAAAATAACCCGATTAAATTCAAATAAACCTATTTTATAAATTATATTTTATTTTGTAAAATAATTAAATATTTTATTATAACTCTAATGTTTTTAAATTTTATATTGATATATTTTGAAATACTTTGCATTTTGCTAAGTTTATAAAATTTTATTGAACATTTCGAAAGTTTTTGCATTTTGCAAAATATATTTAAAATATATTGCAATATTTCAAAATATTTGCATAATACAAAAATTCTGAAATATATTTCACAATTTTTCTAATATTATTACATTACACAAAAATTTCGAAATATATTTTATAATATTTCGAAAGATTTTACACAATACAAAAATTTCGAAATTTATTTCGTAATATTTTGAAATTATTACATTATGCAAAATCTTTCAAACTATTTCACATTTATAATTTTGCTAATGATAACATATTTTTACCAACATTAACTAGAATTGTTAATAGGCAGAAGTAAATAGATGAATATGAAAATTAGAGTAGTTAAATAAGAAACCTATAGGCAGATTTCAGGTATAGCAACTAGTGTAGAACCTTCAAACAGATTACTTAAATTAAACAATTACTAATTTTGTACAAGTGACTAGTTGTATACTCTTTTCATAATTGCTTTTTGTAATTGTAATGCAACCATTAACCAAATATACTATCAATAAAATTCTATGTCATAAGTACTTACCTTAATATTTAAAAAAAAAGTAAAACTTTAAAACAAACTACTTAAATAAACAATCAAAAATTGTACATATGATGAATTGTATTTTTATCTTTGTATAAAATAATTATAATAACTAATTTAATAAAAGTCAATAAAATTTCATTACAAAATATGACCTTTGACCTTTAACACAAAAAAAAAAAAAAAGATTAAAAACATAATTTTACCTTTAATAATATTAAAAAAAAATAATATAATAACTTTTTTGTTTAAATTAAATATATTTAATCTATATATAAGAGTAAAATTTTTAGTAACATATGGGCTGCATCAATAGAAATCAAGCAGATTGACATTTGTAAAAAAATTAATTCCTTACTTTTTCGCAATTCACATCTTGATGAACTTCGAATATATTCTCATAAATAAATAATCAAATAAAAGCTTAAGATCTAAGCTTTTTTTGATAATTCAATTATAAAAAAGTTTCGAAATTCATTAAAATATAAGCAGTAAAAAGTTAAGACGTCAATTTTTTTAAAAATGTCGATCTGCTTGATTTTTATTGACGGCAACCCATATATAATAATATCGTTATAACAAATAAATTTTTTGATTGGCTAGTTTGCACATGATCTGCAAATTGACCAATCATAACGTGATATTCAATTTATGTGATCGACCAATCACGAGTATATGCTCTCACATAGTAAATATACTAATATAATATATATACGTATATTAATAAGCCCTTTTTTTTTATTAAAGTTCTTTTTTAATAATAAATAATTAACTTTATACTACTATATTATGAAATAAAGCATCAATAATTTTAGAAATGTCAATTTGTTATGTACAATATTACTTTACGCCGTTTTGCATAGGTTCGAAAAATCCGAATTATAATAGCATAAATATTTTATCAAAAACCCGTAGGCAATTTTTTGCTCAACACAAATACCTTGTCATCATCTCGTAATATAACGTTAGATTTAGGGCACGTATATACATATCTCAACTCTTTTTCATTGCCATTTACAGGTTTGGCTTTTTTAGTGCGGTACAACCCTAGAGGTATGACTTTCTTTTGCACCATAGAGCGAAACAGCTCCCCATATTGATATCCAACAAATGAATGTACTGGGATCTGATAAAAATGAGAATGTGATGGTGCGGGACAAGTTGAACCAGAGAATAGGGGTAATGGTGGTGCACCAAAAAGCATTTGTTCAATTATTGTCACAATGTGTGGTTGATAAAATGATTGACAAATAATACTATCAAGCATTGACAAAGAAAAGCAAGTTCCAGCCATAAAGGCCGGTGAATGATGGGCTTAAAAAATAAATAAATAAATAAAATAGATAAATAAAATAAATAAAATAAATAAAAATAAAAAATTATTTATATATACATATATTAACACGTAAATACTTACCTTGCATACTCTTATCGATGGCTGAAGCATCTTCAGACATAAATTTCATATTATCCATGTGGACAAATTCTACAAAAACATCAATGTTCTCTTTACACATTGCTTTAATGTTTAAAAATACTAACATCGCTGACGCATCTTCAGTCTTTTCACCATTTCTATCAATTATATAATAATGTTCAAGTTATTAATTTAAGCAAAACTTGCTCAAAACATGAGCAATAATAGGAACTTACCTCAACAATCTTGTAGAGTCTGCCAAAATAACCGCTTGCTTTGCGAATCTCACTCGTCCACAGTCCAAACCTTCTCGCATCATGGGGTTCCCTTGCACAAAATATACTTGGTCAAATTGACACAGTATTTTCCATTGGCTTTGAGTTGGCCTTGTAGGTGACAAAATCACAATCGGTGTAATTTTTTCTAAATAAGGTTTACGTAATGGACTGACAAAACAATCAAGATTGCGTGGAAAAGTCGTCTGAGAGTAATCACACAAAAGAATGTGTCCAGTGATTGTATCTATTACAGAACTTATGCTTTCTACGTCATGGGCATGTGAAGATAATGTAATATTAGATGAAGAATAATGATGAGTTTCGTGATCCACAGCAAGTGCGAGAGGCGTTGAAAACGCGCGCTGACGCCTCAACGTAAAAAAATCAGGTTTATGTGGATATTCATGGTGTGGAATGTCAGATGCCATTTGTGTAGTTGTCTGATGACCTTTTTTTTTATCGAAATAAGAACCTCCACCATTATTTTTCAGTGTATCATTTGTCAACAGTGACTGTTGTTCAGAATGAACAGATATAACTTTATGTTGTTTTTGTCCACCACGCCATTCATAAGTAGAAACACCATCTGCAAGCGAACCATCCAACGCAATGACAAATCCAATTTCATCACCATTTAAAATATAATCATCAGGATTAATCAATACCGTGTAGCTTTTAGGACCATCCACGTTGTAATCATTTTTTTGATCGAACATCCAACGAGTGGATATGTCAAGCGAGTGTTGTTTCGGAATTCCAAGTGCAAATAATACAACACCTAAGTCCTCGTGAAGACGTTCTACAATCCAAATGAATATGAAATGAATATACACTAAAATAATCCAAAAAACAAATTCACAAATTAGAATTTGAAAAGTCACCAGTAACTGACAAGAAATTATGCCCAGAGAAATGGTCGGATAAAGTGGTAGTGTAAATTGACTGGGAAAATCCGGTAATATAATCCTCGATAGCGTCATTGTCCAAGCAGACAGAAGAGCGTCGTCGCTTCCTTGTCCCACGTCTTAACTCATTCGCTGATTCAAAGGTAAATGATGTAGTAAGTCCATATAAAAGCGTGGAAAATCCAGGGGTCAGGCATGAATGAGCAAGAATGGCTAATTTCAATTCATCGATACAAATAATTTGCTCCGGGTCTAAATAGACAAATAATTAATTAATAATTTTTAATGTCTTCAATAATAATAAAAATTTTTTTAGCTTACTTAAACTTTCGAAATGAATTTTATTTTCTGGAAGAATACATTGAATATAAAGTTTTGGACCTTCATCGAATTTACTTAAAGCCTACATAAAAAAAAAAATGATTATGTATAAACCTTATTGTAATCCAAATTGAAATAAAGAAATGTTGATAAATACAATTGTTTTTAACACATTCTCTGCATCAATTATTTCGCTTTGTTGAGTATATTTTTTAGCCAGAATAAAATATGCACAAGCATTTTTTGCATCAACCTTTTCTAGGTTACGTGCATCAAGAGAACTTCCGCGAATATATTGTACACGATGTGCAAAGACGGGATCAGATAAAAACGTTCTCACGCGATCAGTTGGTTCCAGAGGATTTAAGATTACAACCTTCGTAAACGGTAAACAGATTAGTTATATAGTATTATAGTAATATACATAATATGCGAAAGGACCTTGATAATGCTTTACTTTTGTATTGAAAGTGGCGGAACCGTGTGCTAAAGAATAAAACTCTTTCAAAAAATGTCTTAACGATGGTAGCTCTATAGTTGGTGCTATTATAATAACGTGTGGTTGTTGTGAAATTTTACGGAATGGTTTGTCGTAAACGGATTTTGAGCGTATCAACATGGTCAATTCTGATATAGAATACTAAAAATTAAGGATTATCAACATATTTAAAGAAAAGGAATATATCTTAAATGCAAATAAAATTCTAAATATTACCGGAATCAAGATGAGACCCGTAGTAAATATCACCAAAAGAAGAATTCTTGGAAATGCGTTATCAGGTACTATGTCACTTAGATAACCAACAGTACCCAACATAATTGATGTGAAAAAAACGGCTATTATAATAAAAGATTAATAAGTTAATAATAATAAACTATGCAAGAACTAAATGACCATAATTTGTAATAATCAAGTACCATCCAAGAAAGTAATATTTTTTGCATCCTACAGGTAAAGTTATTTAATTTCTACGCGTAGTTTTCAGAGATCGAATAACTCAAAATAATTTAAAAGTACTCACCATGTAGGCATATTCAACACCATGTAACAATGAAGAACCAGCCAAAATAAGAAACAAAATCGTTGTAAAAAAAATCAAAGTCTTACTAGTAACTTGACCAAGTTTTAAAACTGATTTTTCACTTCTCACTAGACAATCACGCACGGATAAATAACATCGAATAAAACGAAAAGGATAAAAAAAGACAATATAACGGGTTTCATTAAAATTCGGATCAGTTACAATAGCAAACACGGGATAAACGGTCAAAGCTGTAAGGATAGGTGAAACTTTGGTAATCAATGATTTCCATGATTCGAACTCATATATATAAAACTTTGGAACATATTCCATAACTAACAGGATGGCCACCACAACTTCAAAACACACGTTAAACGTTGGTAAGGAAGGCTCCTTCATATAACCAGTATGTGCAATATAAATCAGACAAAGTAAAATATTGAGGAAAGCATCCACAAGCTTCCATATGCTGCCAATTTCGGAATTATCAAGTTCGACAGCCAATTGTTCACGCCATGAGGGTTGATATAAGGTATGATAACGTGGTTGCTTTAAAGCAAAATTAGTTGAAGAAACCGATACTATGGAAGAGGCTCTGCTAGAAGAAGAGCAAGTTTTTTTGGAAGGAAGAAGAAAAGTAACGTGAGTAGGTTCTTCTATCGGTTCGGGAGTCGTCGTCATAGCCCTTGACATTTTGCTACGAAATTATTTTTCAAGCAAGTCAACGGCGTTCGAACGTTTTTATTTATCTAAATGCATATTTTTCTAAAGTAGATAAACCCGATCTTGATAATTTATAACGAAGATCATGTGATTTCTTTAATAATTTTGTAATTATTGCAGCTTATTGCAGCAATTAAATCAACCATAATGATAATGCACATTGTTATGTTTCAAGTATTAAAACCCGTTTTGCATTTATTGTAATTCCATTATTGTATTTGATTATCTCAAATTGATAATCGGGACTAAAGTCATACGTACGAAAGTTTTGTATTTGATACAAGAAATTTTCCGATTGCTATTCAGGTACATTGATACTTGTGCATTGCTGTAAGATTCAGTTAGTGTTCAGAATAAATACGTAGTATAAAAATATGATTACTAAATCTTGAGATGTTTTGGGCAACTTATCAATTGACCGTTTCAGCGCCACAATACCTTTTTTAGCGCAAAAATGTATAGTAACATTTGGGTGTGTGTTACTTAGAATTTTATTGTCAATTTACTAGTTTTGTTAGCCAGCTAAGGCAGCCGCAGCTAAGCAGCCTATATAAAAGAGTCAGTTGGCTAAAGATCATATAATTAAAATTCTGATACCTAAGTTCGAATAGTGATTTGAACCGGCTGGGTTATAATCGGTTAACCGAACCAATTTGAATAAATTTCAGATAACCGGTTAAGCAAATTCTTAATTGGTTAACTCGGTACAACTGGTCGAAAATTAAGTAACCAGTTAATAGGATTGATTAAGTATGTAAATAACCAAAAAAGAGCAAAAATTCTAAAAAGTTTGAAAAGAAACTGAATAAACATAAAAGATAGGTAAGGTTGAAACAAAATTTTGAGTGAAATTTTGAAAATTTTTAAGACCTCGAAATTATAAAATTACAAGTTTGAATTCTATTGAGTAACAACAATTTTATCAGAATCATGATTGGAAATGATCTTTGAAGAATTTTTTATTGAAGAAAAAAACAAGATTTATATATAAAAATGCATTCTGCTAGCATAATTATAGGGTTGAAAATAATTAAAAAAGACAAATCTGTTAACAAATAACGTTAACATTAAGAAAAGCCTATTAAAAAGATTAATAAAAAGAACATTAAATATAAAGAATAAACTGATTAATAGGTATATAAAGTTAGAAAATTGTAGACTAAATAAAAATAAAAATTTAGAACATTATATAATGAAATTAATAGATTATAAGTTATCTTTATGAATAAATATACAGTGCGAAACAGTTAGAGACATCTAATTAATATATAAAAATGCTAATTTTGTTGCTTATATAATTAATTCTGATTGGCTAATTTTGTATAATTAATTTTAATTGGTTAACAATACATATATGTTTTTTTATATTAAATACTAATTTATTGAACTTATAAACTTTAATACTTTATAACTTTTTTAAAACAAAAAATAAAAAAAAATTCTTTAACTGAATTGTAGTTTATCCAAAAATCTATTAATTTGTTAAAAGGTTTTTTGATTTAGCTTATTTTAAAAAAATTATAATACTTTAAAGTTTTTATTAATAAACATTAAATGTTTTTGACTGTCTCATACTGTAATAATAAATATAGAGATCATATACTGTTTAATGATCTTTACTAAATAATAATTCTGATTTTTTAAAAAAACTATTAGATTTTAAAAATAACTAAGAATTTTTAAAATAATAAAAAGAAAAAATATATATATTTTTTTAATATTAAGATGAGTACTTGTAACCCAAAAATTTATTAGTAATATGTTAACATATAATTATTATATACAACAGTTATAAAGGCAATCATAAAAAGAGTATACAATTAGTTATTCATACAACTTTAGTTATTATTTATTTTAAATAGTTCATTTGAAAGTTTTATACTAGTTGTTATGCCTAGAACCCATCTATAGATTCTCTATTTAAATCTTCTAGTTTTTAATCTATTCTTATTTTATAAATTGCAAATTAATTGCAAATATGTTGTTATAGAGTTGTAGCTTTCTTGATACAATACAACTAAGTAACAAGATCATTCAATACAATAATTGACTATTGCAAATATAAATAAAATAAAAGTGTCATTAGCAGAATAAATATGCAAAATATTACAAAAAATTTTACATATTAAAAATCTTTTAAAATAACTATAATTAATATGAAATTATTTTAAAATAAAATAATTTTACAATATTGAAATAATTTCAAAAGAATTTCAGTTATTTTACAAAAAATTTAAAATTTAATAAAATTAAAAAAATGAAAATATATTTTGAAAATAATTTGAAATATTTAAAAAAATTCAAAATATTTCAAATATTAAAATAATTTTAAAATAATTAAAAATTTTGAAATTTCTCTGATTTGAAACTTCTAGCAATCTAGTTAGCAGTACTTCTTATTGAAATTCTTATTTGGCTAATTTCTTTTATATCAATATTTATTTCTTAGGTCTAGCTTTTATAATAGTATTATTAAAGATTTGTGCTATTTCTCTATTTAGATCTTTCCAAGTAGGTTTCAGGTTTTCAGTTCTATGGATTTATACAGCCATAAGAACTTATCTTAGATTTGTATTATCTGATGCCAGTTTGCATTTCTTTATATAACTTTAACATTATACAAATACCTTATAACCTGCCAGTTATAATAGTATAACTATAGTTACAGATATCTTATCTCAACTACCTTCTATAATACTAATATTACATAGATGGTTTTTCAAATTTATATTATCAGTAGGTTTTAAACTTTCAATCTACTACTTAAGAGGTTGACAACTTATTTATTTCACTAAGTTGTCACATTTCTTTGCTATGTAAATTCATTAAAATTAAGAAACAAGAAGTTTATTTAAAAAGACTCAAATAAAGAGATAGTATAGATTTTTGATAATATTACTGTAAAGACTAGCTTAAAAAAATAGATACCAAAATTATAGTAGATTAGAAGTCTCAAAAGTAGCACCAACTAGGTCACCAAAATGAACTAAAAAAAAAAATATCAGGCCAATCTGATATATTAATAGACTAATCATAGTCCTATACAAGCTATTTGAATTGAAGTTTGATAAAAATTTAGAGGTATACTAAAGTATTAAGATTATATTATAAAATAAATACTGATATTTGAGTGAACTTTATAATTTAAATAATATAATTCTAATTATAAGTATTAGTTCTGTTATAGTAATACTTAAGTTAGTTGTAAAAATAGGTACAGAAGACTTTAAAAGATTTATCTTAAGAATAAAATAGTTCTAAAGTTGAGATAATTTTTTTTCTTAAGCAGTCACATTAGTGCTTTATTAAGATTTTGAAATTACATTTGCAATTATATAAATATCCTTAACAACTAAGCCTAGCATTATTCAGCTACTCTAATAGTATCTAAGTGCAACTTGCTGCATTACTTCAAGCAGAAGTAAGCCACTTGTCTGACTACTTAAAGTTTATAATAAAAGGGTCTTCTCTCTTTCATAACAAGCTCTAAAATTGTCTTCTATACTTCTTTTCTGATTTGTTTTTTTTTTTTTTTTGCTTTCTCTTTCCTTTCTTTATGTCTTACTGATTTGGTTTTTCTTTTTTTCTTAGTGCTTTTTTTTTTCTTTTTTTTTTTGTTATTCTATCTATTATTTCTTTATTTTTTTTTCATTTATTAATTCTCTTATATCAGATTCTTTATACTTGTTTATAGAATATGTTCTAAGCTGTTCTTGCTATTATATTTATGAACTGATGTCTTAATTTTGTATTTAGGAACTGTCTCAATCTGTTCTGTTTTTCTTTTGAAATAAGACTTTTAATTAGTGCTTCTCTTATTTTAATTTTCTCTGCTTCTATTTTCTCAAAGAGTATTATGTATAATACATATAAAAAAACTTAAACTTTTTCTTCTTTCTTTAACCCCTTCTAGGCTGTTGCAATAGTCACTTTTTGGATTCATTTTTACAAATTTCTTTATTCCTTACATGCTGCCAAATGTGCCTGTGTTTCTTTTGCTTTATCTTGGCACATTTGGCATTCTGTTATTGTATATACATCTGGTCTTCTTTTGTTAAGTTCTTCTAAAATTGGAAGTTTATTCATTATGCACTTTATAAATGCACTTCTTCTGATACTATCTCTTCTTATTGTGCAGTGTACTCTCTTAGATCTCTTCAGTTTATTTCAAAAGTATGTTTAATCATAAATCATAACTTCTGTTTTTGGTTTTAGTCTTCTAATTGCTTTCGTTTTTTTTTATTCTACTCCTAACCTTGCATTCATTATTAATTTATACAGCAGTTTTGCTGATATGTTAATATGTTTGTTTTCTCACTCTAAGCAGTACTTTATCTTTTTGCAACTAACATTTTCGATCTGTATTATCTCTTTACTTATTGCTATTTTTTTTTACTAGATTATATCCTTATCTATCTTTACTGTAATTTTTAACTTTAACAAACTCTATCTGAATGTTCTTTGTTATAATTAGCTCTCTAATTTTCATTACTTATATTGTATTCTTCTTTTTAAGAATCTTATCTTTGCATACTTGTTCTAACCCTTTACTAATGTTTCTTATTGCTACATTACTATCTTACATATTTTTACTTGCTTTTCTCTTAATATCATTAAAATTGCAACACATATTATTACTAACTCAGCTATTGTTGATGTTTGCCAATTTTCTAGACCTAATGCTACTTTTTCTTCTGGCCATTTTTGTGTTTTATCTGTTTGCATCCACCCTATGCCTATACTATCTCTGCTTCTTGTGTCTTCTTTAGTTTTTAGGTTTGCTGCTTCATCTGTATATATTATATATTTGTTCTTGTTTTTTATTATATTTCTTCTCAAAATTTTTACTATTTCTTAACTAATGCTGTCTTTTAACTTTTGTTGTTTGATTATCTCTACTTTTGGCTCTTTTATTATTTTTAGTCCTTTGAGTTTTTGTTCTTCTATCTCTGGCTTGTTTGTCTTTATTA